AGCAAATTGTTTTTATTGAATTTTTTTAAAACTTTATATACCAATAACTTAACCAAAACTTGATCAAATTTAATAAATTTTTTTTTAAAATAAATTCTATAAGTTTGTAGAATTTATTTAAAAAAATTTTTATTAAATTTGATTAAAATTTTGTTAAGTTATTGTCGTTTAAAGTTAAAAAAACATTTACTTAAAAAAAATTTGCTTGATTTCTATTGACTCAACCCCATATACTAATTTTGTCAATTATATTTGTATGCAAACAAACAATTTGCAAAAAAATATACAGTATATATTTAAAGTTTGGATTTTTAAATGTAAAGTTTAAAGAAGCTTAGGTTGCTCTATTCAAGTGCACATACACATAATTTTAAAAAGAAATCAATTCTACTTTGAAATAATGCACATGGGCAGATATAAAATTTTATTAAAATATATTAAGTGGTAGATCGCAGTTGAAGGGTATAAATTTCATAGCAAAAATCGGCGGAGAATTACTATTACTTTCATATAATGTTGGAATGCCAAAAGTTTCTGGTAATATTTAAAAATCATATAGTCATAAAAGTGAAATGCCAATAACTCGCAATCTACTAAACCAATGTTAATAATCCTACCACTGTTAGAGCCAGAATAGCTTGCACTATAATATTTGTTAGAAGCTCAAGGAAGGTTTACTGTGTATAAAAAAACTTATCATTGTAAGCTAGCTGCATCCTATTCCAATAGAAAAAACTATATTAACTACCGACGATTTCTACTATTAAAAATTTGCTATTTTACCCTTTAACCTCAAACTTTTTTAAAAAAATGTTCAGAACTAAAGCATTTGTTATATGAATTTATCAATGGACAAGCTTGCAATCATTAAGAAATACAAGAAAGTAGAGGAAAATTAGCAAGTCCTATCACCATTAGCCATTAAAATTGATTTATAAATCCAAACTTTAAATATAACAACTTATTAAACATTCTATAAACTTCAAATAATTACTTTAATTGTAATAAAAAAAACTCTATTTGACAGCTTATTATAATCGTATTGCCAACTAACTATATAATATTGCATATTTGACTTTCCAGATTGTACTTGTCAATGTTTACATATCTTTAAAAATCTCTAAATTATTTTAAATTTAGGAAGTTAAAACATTGTACGTTAAAATTACAAAGATTTCATTTAATACATAGGAAACAACAACTTTAAAAATATATGCCTACAATAAAAAAAAAAAGATGCAATCACTTAAATATTATTATTTCATGCAAATAATGAAATAAATGCCAAAATTGAACATAAAACATTTTTACACGGCATTCTTGCCCGCGTGTGCACCCAAATGTGAAATAATAAATAATCGTCCATCATCTCCAGCAATCCAAATTTGTCGATTATTATTACTCAACTTTATACATCTACCAATTAATGGTATTTCAAATTCATGACATAAGTCTAGACTGTATACATCGAAATATAATTTTGAGTCAGTCAGTTTATGCGTTATGTTAATTCAATTTACACTATAAAGTATTTAACAGATAAATTTACCTAAGACCATCAAAAATACAGATTTTTCCTTTGTTACTTGAGGTTACTATTAAATTATGATCTTGTGACGAAACAATGTGATTTAATCTTTCATTTATCTCAACATAATTTAAAAACTTCCCATTTATGCTATATGCATGTAAAAAGTATTCATCCTATTCATGTGTGTTCAATACATTATGATTAAAAATATGAACGTGATTATCTAAGTAAATAAATCAAATATACTTGCATATTGTTCGGTGTATAGTATTATATTCGCATCTCTAGTAATACAGACGAATTCGACACTAGAATCTAGCCCTTCTAAAGGACGTAGTGTACGAATATAACTTGCATTCTTTAATGAATGAACAATGCAAGTTCCATCCTTGAAAAAATTGAAAAAATAATTAATATGATACACATAAATAATAACTAAAATACGAATGTAATGCAATATTTATTTGGTTACTTTTGATCCGCTTATTAAAATATCATGTTCTGCATTAACGACAATACACGTTATCTAGATTATGTAATCAGTTAGAACATAAGTGCAATAATAATTCACAGAGAAACTTTATATGTTACCTCGTCGTCATGCCCATAGAATGCTTGAAGAGGGGAATTCTCAATGCTTAGAAATTCGCTATCATCTGTTAAATTAACTTTCCATGATAATAAGTTTGAACTTCGAGAACCAGTAACAACTATCCTTCCGTCTTCGCTAATAGCCACAGCTGTCACTATATGTACGTTAGAAGTCAAAGATAAAATAAAATAACAATAATCAATAACATCTGTTCAAGACCAGAAAAAGGATATCATCATGTCCGTAGATAGAATCAATAGTTCTACCCGTTTCACTAAGAGTTACTTTGACAGTATTATCCCAATGACCACAACTCAGAATAACCTTTCCATCTTTACTGCAAGTAAAACATCTTGGTGTAATAAGTGCATCGAAACTAAATGGGCTACTCAATCGACTAATTTAATATATATAAAGATCGTTAGCAATTTAAACTTCTTATTATCAAATATTATAAAATATTTACGTTTTGTACTGCAAATTAGGATCAACCTCTACTGTAAATGGTATATCTGGAGACATGCTTCTATGTATAACTCGATGGTATCCAATAATCCCATTCTCATCAATGGTAATTATTGCTTGTTCATCTTGAAAACTTTCTTTATCTGGTATTGGCAAATCAACAAAATGTAACTTTCCACATTTCAATTCAACAACAAATCTTTGTTGGTTGTCATTTGAATTTAATAGATCTTTCCTAAGAAAATCTTTACTAAGGAATCGTGGTGGGTGTGGTTTGGTCATTAATTGTGTTGGTGTCTGTCCGAAATGATATATTTGTTGTTCGATACTTTTGCGTTCTACTGAGTCTTGGATGCTGTCGATGTTTATAGCGCCCTCATACGTTAAATAATAGAATACATTACATGCTTTGACTGCTTCTTCTCCAGTTTGTTTGTAGCCAAATATTAGATCTAAATTAAGCGTTTAATCAGCTAATAATAATGACAATAATAGTAATAAAAATAATCATAGCAATGATGATATACTGACCTATCCAATGATGTAAATTCTCAGACACATAGTCTGACTCTAAAGCCTCACGATTAATGCGAACAAATTCTTCAGGAGAATGCGCCCATTTTGGCAGACCCACATTATCGAGTCTAGTACCATCCTGCCGTACCTAATACCATAATTGATCGTTAAAGATAAATGCATCTAGACTCAATTCCAATAAAAAGCAAAAATACTCACACCAAGATCAAATTTATTATAATTTACCAAAAATTCCGGTAAATAAAAAAATTCAGGTATCAACTCTCTAACATCGCCACTTGCATTATTAACAGAATGCCATGTATCTTGAATGGAATGAAATTGACGATCAGCATGATCAAATTTTCCTCCTTGCAAAGAAATATGCACAGATGTGTATGGCTCCATCCTAATTAGATAACATGCTACAGTTGCTGCACTTGAATAATGTGTTCCGTAATGAAACTTTTTTATCCTTCCTGATGGATCATCAAAGCATTCATATCGATCAACAAATTGCTGTAATCTCGCTGGATTTAATGCTCCAATTGGTTTAGATAAATCACGATAAATTTTGGGATCGGACAAGTCAATTGTCTCAGACTCGTAATCGCTAATAATCCACGGAAAAACAAAATACTGTGTTAAGTCATTAAAAGATCTCCCTGCCATGCCATTAAGGTGCATAAGATATTCAAAGTTTGATATTTCGTGTCTCTGCCAACGTTCAGTCAAGTTCGTTCTTTGAAATATCGTAACTGGTGAACGAGTATCTTGATTCAGCATTGATGGGGGTCGAAGTGAGGTTATTTTTGAGAATAGTCTGATTCGATCCTTTGGTTCCGGGAAGTTAAAGAAATAATTTGTTTGATCAGTTAGAAATAGTTCAAAAGCACTTCGTCTTAATAAATATTTTCGCATATGTATTTCACGTATATCTGAAATTGACCATTTTTTATCTCTAAGCATCT